ACCGAGTATCTTTATATACTCGATCGAGTACCCGAGCTGCACTCCCAAAAAAAGCCTATAAATACACCCCCTTTCCTTCACAATAGATACCAATTCCTTTATACTCTTAAGCTCAGTTTAGAATAGCATTTCTTTATATTTCTTTTAGCATGTTTAGTCTCCAAATGAGGAGCTAAACTCTTCCATCTTGGTTTTGCTACTTTGAAGCTTAATGAATTTGTAAGTTGTGAGTTATTCTCTTTAATCTTCTTCCTTGAATATTAATTCTTCCTTTAAATACTATTTCTATATTAATGTTGGGGAGTGTTACTAAGATGACAATTAGTTAACATCTTGACATTAGTTATAGTAATAATTATTTCTTCCTCTACGTTAATATTGGGGAGTGTTACTGAGATGACAATTAGTTAACATCTTGATATTAACTATAGTAGGATTCATCTTCTTTAATATTCTTTCTTGAGTATTAATTAACTCCTATTCATATTTCATATTAATATTTTGAACATTACTTAAAGGATCAACTAGTTTTGTTTCATATATTAATTAATACTAGAATCGGCCGATTAATACGCTTGTTATTAATTCGGTCCTTTCATGGTAGTAAACTTAGATTATTAATGCATGCATCTCATGGTTAATAATCTAAGGGGAATTAATTATATTGATTAAACCAATAAACCGCTTGTGTTGAGGTTATCAATCTCAATCGTTTCATCTTAAGTTTATTGCTACTATCAAGTTAATACACGGCGCTTGTTCTATATTGACTCGATAGTAAGTTTTATTAATGAACGCTTCTCGTTATTAATAACTACCCTCGATGAACTGGATATACTCCTCGATTGAGTATTCGAGAGGAAGATAGTTAAAGATATAACCGGGATCGACGAACATTTCATTAAGTGGATAAAAGCAAAGCCAAGTCTCCTTCTTATTAATTAAACCACATAACTCGTTCATCTTCGTGTTTAATTTATTAAACCAAATCGAACTAAAACCCCCCATTTTGTTACTAGTTCTATAAAAAGAAAAGTATTCCTTTCCCTGTGGATACGAACCTTACTCCATTATACTACGTATAATTGTTGTATTGTATTATTATTTTGAGTGCACATCACGACAAAGTGCACGTCAGTTTCATTTTGAAACGGGACGGTACCATGCCATACCAATATCAAACAATGCCACTTTTTTCAAGTGCTTAAGAGGAAATTAAAGTTTATTCATCCTCCAAAAATCGACACAATTTATAAATTTGCATACTCATTTTATCCCAAATTGACATGCAAAGTCAATAATTTTTTTGTCAACCATGTTAAAGTTAAATTCTCTTTATTGATAATTGATTTATTTTTTAATAATTAAAATAAACATATTCAGAAACTACATTGAAATCTCTTCAAGGTTGCAAGCTCCAAATTAAATATAATTAAAAAGTGACATTCTAGTTAAGTGAATAAAATGAAACTGTTTGACCAAGAAAAGTTAATTTTGCAAATCAATTTGGGATGAATGTAGTATTTTACATAATTAATAAATTTCAGATAAATTATAGTAGTACAAATATAAATAACTAAACCATACATTGCTCCGATTCCAGGCTTCCTATGAATTAGCAAAGACGGTGAAAGTGTGAAGACAGTAGTCAAAGTAAGGGTATAAATGTAAATTTAAATCATTGAATCATACTTCAGTCCGGTTCGGTCCAGTAGCGGTTCTCATTTTATGAGAACCGGTCATGGTATTGTTTAGAATCGGTACGGTTCGGTTCGGGACAAAAAAATTGAGATCCGTTTCAAACCTCATTTTTTGGTCCGGTACCATATCGGTTCGGTTCGGTACCATTCCGGTTCGGTATTTTTGCCCGCCCATACTTGTAGGATTAGCTTGGACGTTGAGAGACACTTCTGTATGTTTACTAAAAAACTCTAATATCTGCTTTTCTATCTGATACAACATGAACCAGTTTAGGAAACATATCCTAACATCCTCATATATTGGGTATAAATTTCACACTTCAATCAAAATTGCTTCAAATCTTGAATTGGCAAAATTGTTTTTCACAAACCTGGTAGATATATTAGGTTTCAATTTCACACTTCATCAAAATATAATTAAACACTTCTGACCTCTCTCTTAACTAAATACATTGCACCTTTTTGAAAGCTCTAGCATAAATAAATGTAGCATTATTTAATGATTATCCAAAATACAATGATACAAATGAACATCTTAAAGCAAAGAGCTCACAACAACATAATAAAAGAGAAGACAAAAAGGTTTGGACACCCTTTAGACAAAAAAAGAAACAATCATTAAAAAACACAATCATTGTTCTTAATTGGTATGTAAATAAATTATGTTTATCTTTTATATGAAAGGATATATATTTACAGGTGGGTATTTGAAATTCTTTTAGTTTGTTCTACTTTTAGTTTTTTTGGAAGAAGTTCTACTTTTAGTTAGGTTAAATCCATTTCAATGGTCGATTATCAACGTAAATCAAATTATGTTTGGCTTGGTTTGACCACTTGATGAGTTCAACTTGGATATCTGGTTACCAGTATTATCATTATAGATAGTATTTATTATTATTTATTATTTATTCGGTGATTTTATTTCACTTAGCTTAGGGTGCAGTTTGAATTACTACGGCTTTAAAAACCACTATCAAATTATAATTAATCTAATTAAATATGGTCCAATTTTGATTAGACTTAGTTTGATTTAGTTCAATTCCATCAAACGAATGAACTCGTGAAAGAATAACAATAGAGCTAAAGATCGAAAGAATAAATTAAAAAAAAATTCTCCGTATTTAGTTAAAAAAAAAAAAAATAAACATATTTTCATTTTGATATTCGTCGAAACTAATTTGCTTTTTTCTTTTTCTTTTGAGAAATGGAGCACTCTTTAATCATTGTTCATCATTCTTAAGTGAACATGTCTAAAGGTGATTCCGATGCAATTACAGCAATAAATCTAGGTGGCAGTCGTGAACATATTCAGCAATTTTATAGGGTTTTTCTTAAATAGGTGAACTGTTGAAGGATAAGCCGAACTAATTAAATATGAAATAGTTAATTAATATGATTCCCTTGTACTTGATTTTTTGATCCATATTCCCTTTTTGGAGATATTTTGCAATTTTTCTCCATCCTTTTTGTTGTGTAGAGGTTTTAAAAAGAGAGGTATTTGTATTATAGCAATATTTGCATAAGTAGGTTCTTTTCCAAAATGAAAGTGAAACAAATATGGGATCTTTATAAAAATAATTCTAAAAAATTAGATTAATAGTTACTACAATATAACGTCATGGTAATCGAAATTTAAAAATTGAATTAACTTAAATAGTGTTTAAAAAAAAAGTGATTTTGAAAAGTAAAAGTTGATAGTGTTTGATAAATAAGTGCTTTCCGTGTAATAGAATAAGTAAAAAACACTTTTCGCATAAAAGCCGATAAATGTTTTTTTAAGTAGAAGTTGTTACTTGCAAGAAGTAATAGGCAAGAGCTTCTCTCTCTAGGCGGCCGTCTCCCCTAGGGTTGAGGTTGTTTTTCTCCGCTTTCGTATTCGACGAAGTGTGGCTTTCTTGTGTGGTTTTCTTCCGCCTTTCGTGAGGCTCTCTTCTTCGGCAGACCGCAGTGCCTCTATATGGTTGCCAAAGATTGTGTACCCCTAGCAGCAGGTTGAGAGTTTCAAGGATGCCGTTCAGGGTTGAGATCAGAAGGTCATAGATGAAGCATGGGGCTAGGGGTTGGAACATATTTGGACCGGGGGCAAGGAGCGAAAGATGCTAAAGTACTGTTGGACCATCTGTTGGATTTGCTCACGCATGCAATTAACTAATTGACTAACCCATGCAAATAACTAACTTAATTAGACAACCAAGCACTCCAGCCTAGCTGGTTGCGAGGTTACCGTGCCTAGTGGGAGGTCTCGAGTTCGAATCCCGCTAGGCACACAAGGGTTTGAAACTCAATGGAGTGAGTTTCAGCCCTGATTACTCCAGGCTCCCCCCAACCCCCCTCCCACATACGCCCCCGGAGCAAAAAAAAAAAAAAAAAAAAAAAAACTAACTTAATTAGACACTAATAACAAGATTAGTTCCAACATCACCCCCCTCCTAAACCGCCACCATGGAGTGCATGAGAGTTTAGGGTTTGAAAGCTGTATTTTAATTTTACTGTTTTCTGGCTCTTTATTTTTCATGATCAGACTGTTTATTTTTCTGTTGGTTTCTTTTATTGTTGTAAGACCCTTGCATTAGGATTGGGTGATGGGAGGTCTGCTTTAATCGTCGTTGGCTCATTTATGCCCATTATAGGATCAGCGAGTTTATTGCTTTTTTGGAGGTGATTAACTTTAAGTTTGGTTCGAGGGCTGACGATTGTCTGTGATTTGAATTTAAGCTATCTATTTTGACGATAAAAAAATAGAAACGCTTTTTTTAAGCAGTTGGAATTTGCAAACACTCCCAATGGAAAATTACACTTTATTGATTTATTTCAGGGAGTCTGATTTTCGTAGGGTCAGTTTGAAAAGGAGGTAAGGGTCAGATTGGTACTCGAAGTTGCATAAAAAGTGTCAAATAAGTCTTTACTGTCCGACCGTCCCCATTTGAGGCGGTTCCCGATGGAATTTTTTGATGGAATTTTTTGATGAATTTTTTTGAGCATCTTATTCGTTAAATCTAGTTTACTCATACCAAATTTCAGCTAAAACTTCAACCAGGAAGGCATTCAAATGAATTCTTGAAGATAATTGAGTTTTTAACTGCGCAGTTATCTTCAATAATTCATTTGAATGCCTTCCTGGTTGAATTCTTAGCTGAAATTTGGTATGAGTAAACTGACTTAATGAATAAGATGCTAAAACAAATTCGTCAAAAAATTCCACCGGGAACCACCGCAAATGACGACGGCCGGACAGAGCCTCCTATATAAGAACTTATTTGACATTTTTTATGGGCCTTATCTCGTTTGAAAAGGATTGAAAAGCCAACGCCCAATTTTTATTCTATTTATGAGGCAAGGAGTAATATAATCCAAAGGGAATAGTTTCTTATCTGCCATCTCTCATTTGCTCCACTCCCTGTATCTCTTTCCCTCAGAATTGTTGTTTGCAGTACCATACAGAGATTCGAAGGAGAAGAAGCGTGTATAGCATGAACTTGGCGAGTCTCGATTTTTGAGGTGTCAATATCAAACTCTTTCACTACTTTATGCTTTTAACTAGCTCTAACTCAACGCTTGGCTTCTCCTTCAATTTTCACATATTTTTTCATATAGTTTTGTTCTGGTTTTGTTTCATGTTTTCCAGTTATTAGCTCTTCTTTTTCTGAATTTCTGTTTGAGCACGGATTGTTCTAAGATCCAGGGCTAGGGAAACCATTGAGAATTGGGAGACCCTAGCAAGAAAATAAAAATTTATGGGGTCTGTTATTTCTCTTTTACGTCATTATTATTATTATTATTATTATTATTATTATTATTATTATTATTATTATTATTATTATTATTATTATTATTATTATTATTATTATTATTATTATTATTATTATTATTATTATTATTATTATTATTATTATTATTATTATTATTATTATTATTATTATTTATTATCATGTTTGTTTTTACTCAATAGAATTGTCATATATATACTCAAAACTACTACCTCAACTCTCTTTTAATTGCAACATTGGACTTTTTGCATTATTCACGTATTCTATTTTGACTATATTTTATTTATTAACGTATTATAAACTAAATTTTTAAAAAATATTGTTAAATTCTTCGCATTCTAAATTTTCAAAATATGAATTTTTAAAATTTTTTACTAATAAGGAATGAAAGATATTAACGGTCAAACTTGTGCGTTGACAAACGTGAAATGTTGAATGTTGCAATTAAAAGGGAACGAAGGAAGTACATTTTATTTAATAAAAATGTAAACTTTAATTTTGAGCCAATCCACATATTACATAATAAATGGGTTGCAAGAGAATAACTATTCTGCATTGAAGAATAGTCATTTCATTCTCATAATAACTTTTCTTGATAAAGTCTTTATCTTAGCCGTTAAGGCGCTGACATTTGAATCATCTCACGCTGAATTATGTGATAAAGAAAAATATATTGAATTTCAGCCTTTTGAATTCCTTGGGTATTCTCCTTCATCAATTGATCAAACTCTACTAACATTTTAATTACATCCAATGATCCAAATAATACTGTTATTTTCTTCACCAAAGGTTTCTTAGTGTTCTCGTTTAGGATTAGACTTTGGAAAATGTTACTTTTGACTATTTTTCACTAAAGGAAAGAAAACTGAATGCAAAAGCAAAAAATAGAAAAACAACAGGATAGCAGTTTCTTTACCCATGTAGTCCTTGTAAGGCTGCTTGCAACCCACTGGGTGAATAGCCAAATGTGATCATTTCAACCCCAAATATGCTACAATCCATGTATTATGAGGTGCTAAAGTGATTATATCAACCTTCTCTAGGGTGAATTCCCAGCCTTATTCACGGAGAGAGAGCAAGGTAAGCAAGGACCTGCTATGAGCAGAAATGTGGGGCCAAATATATTAAAATACCCAAATTTCTTTAATGTTTTATAACTTTTTTATTTGTAAACTATTTTTTTAAAAAAACTATATTAAAATTCATATTTTTTTATTATCTTTCATATGACACCAATATAACATATGTACAGTTTAAAAAAAATAAGTTTTATCAGCTAGAGACTTTTATCAGTTGTAAAAAAACATAAGTTTTATCAACTGAATTAATGTATAATAATAAAACAAAAGGTTTTAATTAAGAAAAAAAATTGAAGAATGAATATATTGACGGAGTTGGATTGCAGAGAAAAATAAATTGACTTGATGAATATGTATAAAGTGGGGCCAAATGAGATTTATTGACGGATAAGGATTGCGGGTAGCCTAATGACCATGAAAAACTGTAGTCTAATATTTTTTATAAAACATGAAGGCCAGATGCATTTTATTTTTCTTCATGTGTTCAGGGTCCACTCTGCTTGGTAGGCTACAACTTGGTTTTTTAATCCCTAACAGTGTTTTTTTTTTTGCTTCACGTGCCTGACTAAGAGTGAATGTTTTTCATTGCATTTCTCTACTGCTTGAGCCTTTCGTTGGGTAGGGACTAGGGGTGACGTGAGTTGGTGGAATTAGTGAAATATGTATTTTGGAGGCCTCTGAAGTTGCGCATTAGCATTATGGGCAGTTTGGTAAAGATTATTTAACTAAAATGACCAAACCGTACCAATTCTGTTGAGTCTTTAAAAAACGTGAGGTAGCATCTATTTCAGCTACGAGGAACTCTATAATTCTTGTTCCGATGTATATAAAAAAGGAACTCTATAGTTCATTCCCTACGGATATTGAAGTAGGTAATGTTTTTGGTATTGAAGTAGGTGGTGTTTTTTACACACGCATATGCATCAATAGCTTTTAACATTTTATTTTGTGCGATTGTGCTCTTAGATGAGTTCACTATGAACTTTTGGCTCTAATTTGTGAATTTGTCTTTAGAAGTTATGGTGGAATCCTTCCTTATCTTGGTTGAGAAGCCCTGCATTGTTCTATTTTAAAATATAAAGGCTGAACTTTTGAACCATTGATTTTTTTTAGTGGAGACAGAATCTGATGCCACACTATGTGCTGCAATAAGTTTAGAGAATCCTAACGGGCACCCAAAGGGTCAATAAACTCACAGGAGGCAATCTAGAAAAAGTTTGGTGATCCACCGGAAAGGTGATTTTTTGGGTGATTTTTATAACAGGAGGAATGCAAGAATAAATTGCACCAAGCAATTTGAGAAAGTTATTTTTGTGAATCCGCAATCATCGTCCTATAAATTGAGGTATTTAGGTTGTGTTGTAGTATCATACAAATATTGAGTTATTTAGAGTAGTCATAGGAGAATTTGAGCAAGAACCGTAGTTTCTTTCTCCATTTGTACTTCAGTTATGTGGAAAATTTCACTACTAGAAACTTTTTATCTCCTTTAGGTGGGTATTTGTGTCGAGAGAACTTCTCCTATATGTGAGTTCAGACCCAAATTGTAATTTTTCATGTGTGGTGGTTAGTAAAGATAGTTGAGAGTGCCCTATGGTAGGTATTATATAGCTTCCCGAACCACGCAAGTTCTAGTGTTCTTACTCTTTTTTGTTTGATTGTATATGTGGAAACATATTTGCTCGATGATCTATTGTACCTTGAATTATTCTCAAAAATAGCATCACCAAAAGTCCAAAACAATAAGAGTCTAAGGTGGGTGGGTATCAAATAAGAGTATACAAGTGCATGTTACTACTCCAACTATCTTAAAATCTTTCCTTGTTCATATTTTGGCATAGCTATTCACATTACACGGAAACAAACCCTAATTTCCGAACTGTCAATATTATAATGATTGCTTTCACTAAAATTTTGGTCTAAAATTTGCAAAACATAAGGTATGTCCATATTGTCTCTTATGTTCTTCTGTGGCCTTTCCCATAAGAAAGTTAATTAAGTCATTTGTTCTTTTGATAGTAATTTCCTTTCACTGTTACTAAACATTCTTCATATAAACAACATTCCATTTCTCTGCAGAGATTGCTGTCGGTCTTACTTTCAAGGAGTAAACAAGAGGCGTTCAATTTACAATAGCCGTTTTATGAGTAATCTATCGCTATACCTTAATTATGTTTGGGAATTAAAGGGCCACAGTTTTTTCAATGCATGCATCACGCCTCGGGAGATTCACTGATTTGTGCCCTCAATTCCTTCAAAATGACGACACTTACTCCCTGTCTCACTTTCAAATTATAGCCAACACAAATGGATCTAATGACTCACTTCAAGAGGAAGCTCCTCATAAGCCCTATTGCACTTTGGAATCATCCTCGATGAGTGGGAACGACGCTCTTTCCAACTCACCATCAAATGGAAGCCCCGTTACCAAGCCCGACCCACAATTCACGCACACCAATTATGGTACTCCTTTTATAGAAACCACAAGGCTCGGGCAAATGATGCCCCATGGGGATTTAAAACATGTCCTCATTGCCTGTGCAAAGGCAGTGTCGGATAATGATTTGATGACATCACATTGGTTGATGTCCGAACTACGGAAAATGGTTTCCGTTTCAGGTGAACCGATCCAACGGCTTGGGGCATACATGTTGGAAGGTCTCGTTGCCCGGTCATCTTCCTCGGGCAGTTCCTTCTACAAATCCTTGAGATCCAAACACTTGCCGCCAACAACAAGTTCTCATCAGCTCCTCACTTTCATGCATACCCTTTACGAGGTTTGCCCTTACTTCAAATTTGGTCATATGTCGGCCAACGGAGCCATTGCCGAAGCCATGAAGGGCGAACAAAGTGTCCATATAATAGACTTCCAAATCGGTCAAGGCAGCCAGTGGGTTACTCTTATCCAAGCTTTCGCTTCCCGGCCAGGTGGGCCACCCCGCATCCGAATAACCGGCATAGATGACCGCGGACCAGTGAGTATTGCGGGGAAAAATCTTTCAGAACTTGCCGAGTCCTTCAAGGTGCCTTTTGAATTCCATTCTTCAGACATTGACCTGAAAAACCTGGTAATCCGGCCAGGAGAAGCACTGGCCGTGAATTTTGCATACATGCTACACCACATGCCTGATGAAAGCGTGAGCACCCTAAACCATAGGGACAGGTATTATTCTTAACAAACCTTCATATCCTATGAACTCATGTGTCATATATAAATCTCTATATACTCTATTCTCCATCAGCAGTCCAATATAATTGTTCATTTTAAATATCACTTTTAGGTTGTATCAAAACTAATTAAGCTCAAACGAGCAATCTGATCTTGATAATACTTGATAATGCCCACACACATTATAATGTTGGCATGCTCCGATTAGCCACTATCTTGTGAGGAGATTTAAGTCAATCCAGACCAAGCCAATACAAAGATAAAAACTTAAATATAAGACCTGAGTAACTATTAGGTTGACCTTTTAGACAGAACTTTAAAATTAATGCGGAAAAATAATAAACTAAAGAAACTCACTAAACCGTCTTCAGTTTTGTCTTCCATGGTTGTGTCTTATTCTCTCCTTCTAGACGGATTGACGGCATCATCTGCAACTGAATGTAATCACAAACACAAACCTTTGCAAACTGCAGATAACTGTGAAATGAATGAAAATGATCCACGAAATATATATTACTAATATAATAATATTTTCCTAATAACAGGTTGTTGAGGATGGTCAAGAACCTTAACCCGAAGGTGGTTACTCTTGTAGAGCAAGAATCTAATACAAACACGGCTGCCTTTTTTCCTCGATTTGTAGAAACATTGGATTACTACGCTGCAATGTTTGAATCGATTGATGAGGTTCTTCCGAGGAACCACAGCGAGCGGATAAACGTGGAGCAGCACTGTTTGGCAAGAGATGTTGTGAACGTAATTGCGTGCGAAGGGACAGAAAGGGTGGAACGACATGAACTTCTGGGGAAGTGGAAGTCTAGGTTCAGGATGGCAGGTTTTACTCCGTACCCGTTGAGCTCTTTGGTGAATCTGACAATAAAAAGACTGTTGGAGAACCATTCGGACAAGTATAGGATTGGAGAAAGAAATGATGCACTTTACCTTGGTTGGATGGACAGGGATTTGGTCGCCTCATGTGCCTGGAAGTGATGAAACCGATCATCGAATTTTTAGTTTTCTTTAATGTTTGATGTTAATAATACTCATATTATGACATGATTTCATGTAGAGAACTTACATTGTAAATTCATTTGGGCATTTTCATGTATAAATAAGTTTCATACATATCAATGGAGCATTGTATGGAGCCAAAATGAGCACTACAAAAGAAACTAAGCATGAAAGAATGTACATTTTTCAAAAGCAACTTGTGCACACAATACTTTCATAGTAGTAGAAATGGAATAAAGTACTAAAAATGCTCCTAACTCCCAAGGTTTAAAGTACATTTATTTATATAATTTATAAAATAATTGTATTTAATAAATGGAGTAACAAAATATCGTCACCCAGAACCACCATCAACTGGTAGCCAACAATGCTGGTTGCTGCCGCCACTGGATTCCTTTACTATCATATTTGTATAAAAACAGATGAGTTAAAAAAGATGAGTTTAAGGTTTTATCAGCTAATCTAAAACTCGTCACTCTTAGAAACTAATCACCTGAAAACTAGATTTTACTTTCTAAATTGTAAATGCGCGCACGTGCATGGGTGTGCACAAGGGTGCTACTACAGTACTACTTGTGTCACATGAATTCAGTGAAACCTATGCCTTTTATGGTAATTGGATCATTCCATTCCATGACTTAGTTTTTTATTGAGAAAATAGTCAAAAAGGTACATGAACTGGTTTCAAGTGGAGTAATATGAATGTACATGAACTTGACACTATAAAATACATGAACTTGCACTTTTAAATTCAATCAAGTACATTTGCTCTGTTAGAACTTTAAAATAGCTTACCTGGCCAAACTATCAGTTTATAATATACCGTTGCAGTCCAAGTCGTCAAATAATTAATCTATAAATTCTAATTTCCTCCGGTCCATTCATTTTCACCTTTGTTCTTCATCTTATATTTCTCATGTTTGCTCTCCATTCTCTCCGCTCTTTATCTTATATTTCTTTTGTCTGCTCTCCAAGGGCGGAGCCAGGGCACTGGGTCGCACTGGACCAATTAAAGCATTTTTTAATTTGGGGTGGACCAGGACCTAGGTTGGACCCCTCTAGCTCCGCACCTATTGCTCTCCTTCTCTCTCGGCTGCTCTCCCTACTATACTGCCGGCTTCTTTTATTTGCTATAGGTCCATATTTATTATAGCAAGATAATTGAAGAAGAAGAAGAAAATAAAATAGAACAATAAGAAGCCAGCGGGATAGCAGACGTGAGAAATATAGGATGTAGAGCGGAGAGAAGGGAGAGCAGGTGAGGAAAACATAAGATGATGAGCGAAGGTGAAAATGAGTGGACAGGAGAAATAGAGTTTATAGATTAATTATTTGATGATTTGGATTGCAACTGCATAATACAAACATATAGTTTGGCAAGATCAACTCTTTTAACGTTCTGGCAGAGCAGATGTACTTGATCGACTATAAAAATACAAGTTCATGTACTTTAAAATTTCAAAAATTCAAATGCAAGATGAAGTACTACTTACTCCCGTCGAAACAACTTGATGTTCCATTTTGACCATTTTCTCATTTTTTATTAGTATAATCTATTAATTTATCGTCTTGAAGATAGAAACAATGTTTCTATCTTCAAGATAGAAGCAATGTTTCTATCTTCAAGATAGAAACTAATTGTCCTAGATAGGAGTTCTCGTGTTTTGTTACTTACACAGGACTCCATATTACTTATATACCCCTAATATAATTAAACCCATGAAATCATCGATATTTTCTCGTCTCTCCTCTCCCTTGTGATCGATGCTCTCGCGCATGTCTATCTTCTCCCTTCCAATTTGTGCCTTTCTTCCTCGCCGAATTAGAATCCCGGCCTGGAGCTCTTCTTCACCGGATGCCACGCCTCTCTCGTCGTTGTCTCATGTATTCTCATTTTCCTCCTCCTTCTTCTCCTTCTGGAATTCCTTCTTTTTCTCCTTCCCCGACTCTTTCTCTTCCCCTACTTTCCAATTTCTTCATGTTATATTTTGATTTTATTTTTTGAATTTATTTTTTGGTGATTTGATTAATTCTCTAAGATTTCCAGGTTATTATTATTAGAGTCTACTTTGATATTTTATATTGAATTCACATTAACTTTATTTTATTTGGATTCATTTATTTATTTCTAATGAGTTTTGAATATGAAAGTGCATAATTAATATATATATATATATATATATATATATACACATACATATCTGTAAATACTCTTCATTCAATATTAAACTGAAAATAATGTCTTTTGAACATTAATTTGGAAGTAGTGTCATATCATGGAATTGCCTTTATTAGATATGGCAATATTACTTTGATAATGTCGTGTTTTTTAAACTGAAAATGATTTTTTGGAAAATAATGTCATTCATCATGGCATTAACTTCGTTCATTACAATTTACAATGACGGCAATAGAACATTGACATGACATTATTAAAGTAAAGATGGCTTTATTTTTCATTTTTTCTATTTTCATAAAGATGACATTCAACTGCTAAGACGACACTTATTTTAGCTGTCTCTTCAGGCCAAAGCACTCATCTCAGAGGAGACAATGGTGGTGCAAAGAGACAGAGTTGTGTGGCAGCAACCTCGTCAGAGGAGGAGATCGATGGAGGAAATTGTCATCGTCGTCAGAGAAGACAGTCATCAAAGGACAGAGAGACATAGAGGTGATTGCAACTGGGCCTCATCAAAGGGATGGTGTCATCGCAGCAGGGTAGAGGAGGTCAGCGGTGATAAGGATGTTAGAGTGTGACTGCGGCGGTGGCGGTGGAAATGCCAGAGTGCGACGACGATGACAGAGATGTAGAGTGCAGCCGCAGCGGCGGTTAAGATGTTGGGGGGCTGAAACGTCGGTTGGCGGTGGTGGCACTGGAGGGTGGCTGTTGTGTTGGTAGATGTGGCAGTACTTGGTAGGGTTTTGGAAATCTTTTTTATATACTTTTCAGCGTTTAATTATTGATATATCTAATATTTCATTAAGGATAATTTGGTCAAGCCACCCACTTTTTACTCCTATCAAACATTAAACTCCTATTTGAGGTTGTTTTTTAATGTTTTACTCCTATTAAGGGAATTAACTCAAATAAGTACAATGTAAAATGTACAACGTAGGAACATAAGACTATACCTTATATATATTAACAAAATCAGAACTTTAGTACATATTACTTTTTTGGTAATACAATCATTTTCATTGATATCAATCATTAAACGAGCCGAGACATATAAGTAAATGTGAGACGGCAATTATAAGAAATTCAAATTTAAAATTTATTATGTTTTTAAAACATAATTTAAACAACTTGAACTAAGAATTCATTAAACACATGTGAAACACTTTGTTACATCAAAGTTTAGCAGCATTAAAAAATCAAACATAAAATTGAATTTAAACAACTCGAAGTAACAATACATCAAACATATGTGAAACACTTTATTACATCAAATTTTAGCAGCATTAAGAAATTTAACAACTTGAAGCATGGTTGGCCGCCTTGAGGGTTCATCACGTGTACACAATTGGGCTATGCGCAAAACACATGACATTTGATCTCTTGATTCGATTGAGGATCCCGAGAGGCATGGATCCAACACATCAATTTCTTTTCCATCTCGCACCATACATTTAACCCAACCAACAAGATTTCCACCCTCACCATCTGCTTGTCCAGTTGGTGCACGCCCTGTCACAAGCTCTAACATCACCACTCCGAAGCTGTAAACGTCTCCTTTTGTTGTTGCAACCATCTTTTGCCCATATTCAGGTGGTATATACCCAAATGTTCCAGCTAGCATTGTGCTAACATGACTCTCACATGCACTTATGGTCCTTGCAAGCCCAAAATCTGACACCCGTGCTTTGAAATTTTTATCGAGCAATATGTTGCTAGATTTGATGTCTCTATGGATAATGTGTGGCACAACACCATGGTGGAGGAAAGCGAGTCCATGAGCTGAATCAAGACATATATTGAATCGAGTTGTCCAAAAGATCCCCTCAGTTGAATGAGCTTCGCTCCTAAGGTAAGCTTCCAAGCTTCCATTCTCCATGTAATCATAAATCAAGAACCTCTCATCTTCAAATGCACAATAACCTACCAAGGGTACTAGGTTCTCATGGTGGACCTGTCAAGCCATCCATCATATATCAATCAAGTTTAAAAATAAAATCAACACATAAGACACACAATTAATTCTCTTTGTACTTGGTTGATTATCATTTAGTGAGGAACATCGAGCATTAATATGGTATTGAACTATACTATGTTTGAGTAATTGGCCTAGTCTTGTTAAACCTAATGTCAAGCTCACACAATTCAAAATTGTCCTAACCTCAACAATAAGTGTGTTGTTAATCACTTTTTCATGTTGAATGTTTATGATGTAACTCTAGTAAATATATTACCTTTCCAAGTGTTTCCATTTCAGCAAAGAATTCGCGGTCCCCAGTCATCTCACAACTTCCATAAAGCCTCTTAACAGCAATTTTTCGTCCACTTGATAGTGCTCCTTTGTAAACTATTCCAAAGCCACCACTTCCAATTATATAGCTACTCTTAAAATTTTTTGTAGCTAGTAAGACTTTTTTGTGATTGAACCTCAACAAGTTATGCTCAAATAAAGCAATGTTGATGCTTAGGGGCTCCCTGACATTCCTTATTTGAATATGGTCATCTACATGGAAATCGCCTCTTTTCTCAACCTTAGTAGTTGTCATTGTATCTCTGTTTATGGTTTCTTCGTTTTGTTTCAAAAATTTGTGGGTGATGATTGAAATTAACACAACAAATGAGAGAAAAAATGTTCCAAGAGTAATTTCAAAAAGCGAGGGATAAGCCAAAGATTTTGGAGGTGCAAGACCATTTCCAGATTTGAGATCGGATGTGTCTTCATGTAACGAACAATACAAGCTAGGGGTCATGCAGCTTACATGTGCTTCATCTACAAAGTTGTTTGAAGAAAAATTTGTGAAAGTAATCCCTGGACTCTTACATACGGCACATGGAAATGAGCCTTGAAACTTGTTATTAGAAATGTCCAAATATGTCAATGCAACAAGGATGGAAAGGGAATGAGGTAATGTGCCAGTGATGGAGTTGTTGTGTAGGTCTAAGGTGATTAGAGAAGTTAGGTTGGAAACTGATGCACCAAGGGATCCATCAAATTTGTTGTTGCTTGCATTCAGAAACATCAATGAGC